GATATGGAGCCAATATACATCTTAAACAAGAAAAACATCATAGAGAACATATTTGGGCCTCCAAAATACCTATTCCGAGCATGAAACAATTTCTTTCCCATAGATATTTGAACAGAGAGGATACCTCACGAGGAGCTAAACCAAGTTGTTAAAACAAGCTACAGGACTTTCCAAATTAAAGAAATTTTCTCATAGTATGCATTTCAGGCCAGGAAAAGACACAGGGAGCTAAAACCGAGCACAGCAAGGGTCGGAAAAAAAAAACGTGGCCTATAAAGGCTTTAAAGACAGGCCAAAGTAGGGGCCAAACCGAACCCTGTAAAGGCTCAAAAACAAGAATGAATTTCTAGCTTTTTATCGTGATGATATGCAACAAGAAGTAAATAAGCATGAATCTTCTAGAGCCAACATTCCTTGACATCAAAATGAGTTACCACATTCATTCTAAGCATGGAAAATATAATAACTTCTTTCAACATGTATTTCTAGAGGAGCAAAGATGCATTTTAAACTATCAATATACTCCCAAACATTTTTTTTTAAGCAAAAAAAAGAATAGAGGCAGCCCATATATGCTTCATTTCTCGCTAACCCTAGCAAGAATCCATGCTCAAATCTCAAAACAGGCCTAGATTTTTACTTCCACATGCTCTTATGGTGAATATCTCAAAATACATGCAAATATATTAGACTAGCATGACGTACCATCCAACAGCTACCGACCAACGGCGCTATTCTCAGTGGCTCGGCAGAGAGAAACCGAAAGGAAAGGAGGCGCAGAGGAGGAGAAGTACCTCGTTAATACAGAAACAAAATAAAACCTCAAAAAAATGCTCCACAACCTAAATTCTTCTCCAACAGCAAGAGGAAACCAAACCAAGCAATAAGAACTAAAGAAGAAAGTGAGAGAAATTTGGCAGAGTTTTCCCTCAGAGATTTTTTCTCGGCTCTCTGAAAGGCTCTAAACTGAGCTCTAATAAAACCAGAGAAGGAAAAGGAATGATTAAGAGGATATGGCAGAGGGATCGAGCAGGACAGAGGATACGATCTGCCGCAAAGAGGATCGACACAGAAGGCAGAGGATGAGATATGAGGGATGGGCGCCGTGAGGCCTGTCTCGCGTGCGAGAGGCGAACGCGGGAACGCGTCTTTCCAACGGCACAAAGGAGTGGGCCAGGTAAAATCGAGCGAGCCAAAACTAGGGCAGAGGCCCACGAGTGCGAGAGAAAGAAACGAGAGAGGGAAATAGATTTAGGTTAAGGATTAATAAATGTTATTAATTATAATAAAAATAATAATAATATATATTTATTATTATAATTAACACTTAAATGTGTATTTTTTCCTGGACGTGTCGTCGCAGTGAAACGAACGTCTCCCTAAGCAAAATCGACGTTCCGGACGAGTCGGCGCAGTCCATTTTGTCATCTGGAGTCGTTTGGACAACCTCGTCAACGATCGGAACAAAAACGCGTCGCGACCCGAACCGCGTCAAAAACTCGGCTCGGGCTCAATCAAACAGGACGGTGAAGAGCATGACGGCGCGAGATCAACGCGTACAGTCAATCCTAAGGCCAACAATTCTATAGGGATTCTCCTTGAGTTCCCTCACAGTAGCCCCACCTACTAAGCGCTAGAGGTCAAAAAACACCATGTGGAACGTCAAGTCGAGCGAAGAAAAGCTCAGAACTTCTAACGGGAAGGACTCTTTTACTGGTTTTCTAGGAATAGTCGACAAGAATGTCCTACGTCTAGACCCTAGGCTATTAAAAAAAAAAGAGACTAGACCTCCGCCAAAAGTGAGGTCAACACTCAACAAGGAACTAGATAAAGCCAGAGAAAAAATCATAATAACCAAACTTCTTCCCTTAAAGAGTGAAGCCTTTACTAAAGTATCAAACAAAAGAGAGCAGGAAAAAACTCATGATGACCATTAATACGAACCACTACATCAAATTTCACAACTCGGCTTTATACACTAACATATCATCCTCTTATAAATCTTTTGCTCGGAATTTGAATAATGTGCATGTTCCAAATTCAATCCAATAGGCATTATCTATTTCTACTTGGAAAAAGATTGTGAAAGAAGAAATTCTAGCATTTGAAAAGAAAGGTACCTGGATCATAAAAACTCTTCCACCTGGGAAAAACACTGTAGCGTGCAAATGGATATTCATTATTAAATACAACAAATGGGAGCATAGAAAGGTTCAATGGTAGACTAGTAGCAAAAGGGTTCACTCAATCCAATGGGATCAACTATCAAGAGATAATTGTACCAGCGACTAAACTCATTACAGTACGAGTATTATTACCATTGGTTGTCAATCAGGACTAGCATTGACATGGGTTGAAACAATCTCCCAGAATATGGTTTGAAAGGTTCACCAAGACTATTTTTGCCAATGAGTACTATCAATGTTAGGTTGATCACACTTATTTGTGAAATCAAATTAAGAAAGATAATCATTCTTAATCTATATGTGGATGAAATAATTCTAACAAGCAATGACGTAGGATATTTGAAACAATTAAACGAACAATAGCTTTTGAGTTTGAGATCAAATATCTTGAAACGTTTCAGACATATTATGGGAATGGAAGTAGCTAAATCCAAAGAAGTCATCATAATATCCTAAAGAAAATATATCCTTGGCTTATTAAAAGAGACAAAAATGTTGGAATGCAAACCAACAAATACTCCTATACATCCCAATTGACAAGCATCAAAAGGAGAGGATAACACATATAAGGTCTGACATCATTTTTTTCTAAAAGTGTAGTGAGTCAACATATGAATGATCAAAATAAAGATCATTTATAAGCGGACTTTCAAATCCTGAGGTACCTAAAGATGACTCCAAGGCGTGGATTGATATTAAAAAAAACTAAAAACCGTGATATTGACATAAACACTGATGCTAACTGAGCAGGAGAACATACTGATAGAAGGTCCACCACGGATTAATGTTCATTTGTATAGGGTAACCTTATTACTTGGAGAAATAAAAAGCAAGTTGTGGTGGAAAGAAACAGTGCATAATCTGAGTATAATGTCCTGGCCCCAGCAATTTGTGAAGGGATGTGGCTAAAAAACTATTGCTTGAACTTCACATGGAGAACCAAAGCACTACTAAGATGTTCTATGATAGTCAATTAGCCATTAATATTTCAAAGAATCTGGTACACCATGATCGAACCAAACATATAAAGATTGACAAACACTCTTTGAGATGGTCAATTGAAAGGATGTTCAGCAAGGTTATATCCCAACTCAATATCAAATTACCAAAATTCTTACCAAAGCACTTCTTCAGCACCACTTTAGTGATATCAACAACGAGTTTGGGATATATGACATATACAACCCAACTTCAGAGCAAGTGTTGATCACATGGTTCAGTAATTTGTGGGTCCACTGTTACATCTAAGGGAAGAAATTATTCTCCCTTAACTATCCATTATTGTGTTTTATTTCTTTCCTTTTTATAGTGATGATTTGAATTTTTCTATAATTGTAAGAGGGCTAGTCTGAGTTGTATATATATTAGTTATCTGCTTAATGAGAAAAAAAAAAGAGTTTTTCTTCTAAGAAAGTTCCTCCAAAATTTTTTCATTTATAATGAATTTTTAATATTTCTTCAATGGATTTTATATGCATGCTTTAGTTTTTCTTATTTTATTTTTTAATTAATAATATACTAATTTAAATTGTCAAAGATTTATAGCATATTTATGGATTGTTATTAAATTTATGAGTTTTTTATTTTTTTAGTTAAAGGCTTAGGTACGCCGACCTATGGCAAAACATCTCAATTTCCAAGTTCACTTTTTTAAATCTTGATTACGTATATAAAAATATTGAAACAGAACAAAAAACAAGAATATAGAAGAAATTGCAAGGAATAGGTGTCAGATAACGAGGAACTATCACATGCATTACTGATTCGTCATTTATGTTTTTACTAACAAGCAATTAATGCAGTGTGGAAAGAAAAAATTATAACGCAATAAAGCTCAAACTCAAAACAATATCCTTTATTCACTCTTGCCAATCAACCAAGTGGATGGTAGTTCTTCAAAGCACGTAAATCAATGAAAAATAGCTTTAAAGCATGAGTAATAAAGGGTACACACTATATAGTAAAATTGGGCTGTCAACAAATTGATTTTGACTCATTTTGTCCCAATCTCAATGATCACTAAAATTCATTCTTAGACATTAGCTCAAACCAATTTCGATTAGAACAAGACTTACTTCCTAAGAAAAAATAAATTCATTTTCAATCAATTTTTATCTTAAATATAACATAATCCAACATAATACATGGCATCCATCCGCCCATAAATAGAGGGACAAACACAAACAAATACATATATGGATATACTTATATAAAAATTTATATAGATGCATTTATATTTTAATTCTATCTCAAGCTAAGTCAATTTAATCCAAACGCAACATAATGCAAGTTTGATTCAATCCTAGCCTAGCATGTTAGTTGGCACTTTGATTTCAAGTCAAAGCTCGCATGAGCTAAAAATAAAGCTGATTTTAAAGGCAATCTTGGAGTTAATTTCTCAATACAACAGTAAATAAAACCTAAGGCATATCAGCGAGCAACATCATATCAAAAAAATGAAATACAATAGAACATGGAAATTATAAACTTACCGAAGAAGGAAAAAGAATCAAGAAGCGAATATAATATTATTTGAATAGTAAAGCAGCAAAGTTGTTTTTCACACAACCCACTGAATTTTCCCAAAGCATTTTTTCCACTAAAGAATATCTTAAACCAATGTTTAGTTGTAATAATTTTTTTCCCTTCAAACATGTTCAACAAACCATTTGCTTTCATCTAGGTGGACTATGTTACGCAAGCCTATTTACACCAAAACAAAAAATTATTCACACCAATTATGGAAACAGAAAATTATACAATATGAATTTATATTTCAATAATATTACTTAAAAAGTCAATAGTTCTACCTACTTTCAGAGGATGGACTGGAACTGAAGGGAGATGCTTGAAAAGCCTAATTCCAAGGAACATTTCCAATTGCTTTTGTCTAGAACTATCAACAATAACATTCTGGTATCTTCTTTGCAGAGTGATCTTAACATTCTGTGCTGCAGAAAACTTACTAAATTTTCCACCATCCTCATTAAATATACTGAGGATTTGACTATGCATAGCTTTGGAACCAGTATAGAGCGTTGCATGTATATCCCCTGCTAGTAGGAATAGATCTGCTAAATGATTTATAGGAGTTAGCAATGTTGAGCTCTTGAATTGGTCAAATGACATGTCAAATCTTTTCCAAGGCTTGTCCTGGAAAGGATGTTCCCATGTAGTTGTACGTGTGTTATGATCAATATAGAAAGGCTTCCCTGTTACGGCATCTTTGCGCTCCTCCCACCCTGGAGGCAAAGAACCAACCCCATATTTACTATACTCTCCAAATCTATTTACTGAAGTAAAGCCAGAGAGCGTATCTCTGTCAAGAAAAACACCCAACCTCTTACATTGTTCCACAAAAACTTGAAGAGACCCAAAAAAACTGGCAGCATTTGTTCTATCCAAAGAATCGGCACAGTTGAAACGTATTACCCCATTTTGAAGTGAATTTAGGCAGAACCCACCATCACAATCACTATTAGAGACGACAAGTCCTCTACATTCCTTGAGTTTCTGTTTTGAAAGATAATAAATCCCTTCAGAAAAGCCAATGGATACCGTGGGAGCTTTGAGAAGTCTCCAAAGTCCATCAATAGTCTGCTGTTCACCTTTTAATTTCACAGTAGCATGCCAATCATAATTTATGAGTTGAATCCAAGTATAAGGAAGTTTACCTGTAGATTTGACATATTTTATTGATTCCTTAAAATGTTCCACCAAAATGGTTTCCGACTTTCCCTCCTGATTTCTGAGCAAGTTAACACAAATTATAGGTATCAAAGGAGCTTTCTTTTCTTTGACAGCAGTAAGATCTGAACGCTGGGCTTTATATCTTCTACTTAATCTTTGATAATAAAGTGCACTTCCTTTGTAAGGTTCCTGGCTAGAAACATAAATTTCAGCTTCTGCAGAAGTAAATTTTAAGTCTGCTCCCCACCATATTGGTATGGTTCCTCTTCGCCAGACGTAAGAACTGAATGGAAAGCTTTCTCCACCTTTTTGCGCAACCCAAACCAATTGCTCACATTCCACCTCATTGCCTGTGAAGAATAGATGCAAAAGTGTGAGAAAATGAATCTTCTATAGTCAATTATGTACGGTAACATGAAAAACATACTAAAAACTAGTTTTGAGTACAGCTACCACTCCAAGTTTATAAGCCAGGACTACACGCAAGAAACTAGATAGTTTTAAAAAACTAATCTAAAGCCCAATAGAGCCAAAAACAACCACAGTATTTATCATCAATTAGTCATTTGAAAAGCATCCAAAATAGTAATCACAAAAATTGTGCAACAATTAAATATGAAAAAACCTTCCACAATGAAATAATTACAAGAAAAACTTAAACACCTGCTTATAGGTACATTTTATTTTGCTAAATACATGAGAATCTTTTTAAGTAACGGCCCAAAAATCATTGGTCAACAAGGGTTAAATCTTTGCATTAATTGGACATTCTCAATTCGTAACATCATATCATGCATCATGTGACATCATTTTAGGATTCCTAGAATGTGTTTAAGAATCGGAATTAGTGGGTAGAGATTGCAGAATAGCAAAAGAAAAAAGATATGTGAACTCGGCGGGATTTGGAAAGGGATTAAAAGAATTCGGCTGCTGTCCAAGCTAAAAATAACAGAGAGAATGATGAAATGACATTTTGGCAAGGTGCGGCTGCTAAGGAGGATCCATCACTTACAAAAATAGAGGCTACAATTCTCCAAGTAAGAGAAAACTAAGAAATAAAGTATCCAAATAACATAAATCAAAGCAAAAATGTTTCCACCATATTCTAAAACAATATACTTATACTAAGACATAAATTAACCCCTAACTGATTAGCAAAATACACAAAATAAGGGATTATAAGACTCAGCAGTCCCACAGCAAGAGGGAATCCCACCTAGGGTCTAACAGGACATAAATCCAATCTCGATTCTGCTCCAGCATACGCGGTATCGCGGGTTCTGCTCTTGCATCACTCTTCGCATTTAGGAGAGGGATCACCTTCTTCATTGAAAGCATCTAGATCCTATAAGGTATGTCTACCATTAAGCTTGCTATGACTATGCAAAAACCTCAAGGATTCATGATCGGTGCAAAAGGTGAACTCTACCGACAGAGAGTGGCTCCAATCATTGAGATTGATCACAATAGCATAAAACTCTTCATCATTTTAGACTAAAATGATTCAATTTTCAATAAATAAAGTAATAGTGTATCTTCCTTGGCTCAGTACGGCTCCAATCCTCATATTGGAGGTGTCACACTCCACCACAAGCACTGGATTATAATCTAGAAGAGCTAGGGATGGCTCATGAGTAACCTGGTTTTTCAGAGCTTCAAAGCTGGCATGTGCATTATTTGAACAAATGAATCTATATAACTAAAAAAGTTTCATCAAGAGTGCTTCTATACAGCTAAATTTTTTAAAACATTTCCTGTAAAATGAAGTCAGTCAATAAAACTGACGTACTTTAGTAATTATCAAGTTTTTCGGTTTTTGGGCCAAGCCACAATAGCCTTAATCTTCACGGAGTGCATCTCAATGTTGGTAGCTGAAATAATATATCCTATAAATCACACCGTAATTGTAAGAAAATGACACTTCTTCAGGCAACCATACAATTATTCCATCCAAATAATTCCATAAACTTGGCACTGATGTTGTATAAATGCTTCTTCTCTTAACAGTTGTACATCGGAAAATCATCAAAGTACACAACCCTGAAATTGTTTATGAATGCTCGAAAAACATGACTCATCAACCACATAAAAGTATTCGATGTATCTGATAAGCCAAAGAGCATGATTGTCCACTCATACAATCAATATCTTGTCTTGAAAGCTATCTTCCACTCATCTCTTGGTCTCATTCTTATATGGTGATAACCACTGTGTCAATCAATCTAAAAGAATATATTAGTTCCTTGTAACTGATCCAAAAAATGATCCAATCTCGGAATGGGAAGCCGGTGCTTAATGGTGATTATGTTCACAACCCTACAAACAATAAACATACGCCAATAGTCATGCTTCTTTAGTACAATAAAAGTTGAACTACACATGTGCTAGTACTCTTACAAACCAAGCCTCTAGTCATTAAACTTGTATTCTGCTTCTGCAACTCCTCATACATGGCTAGGCACATTCAGAAGACGTGTCATTTTGCAAGAACATGATGTTAAAATGAAATCTATAGCCTATTGGATGTCTCCCAGTGGTGGCAACTCTGAAGGCAGATAGTTGGTCAGCGCATCTTGAACTCTCTCAACAGAGGTTGCACTATGTCTGAAATCATCTTCTCGTACTCACTGTCTTGTAGGACCACCACTATTAGTCCTATCGTTGCTTCCCTCAAGGCCTACAGAAAAGTAGCTCATAGCACCATAGTTTTAAAATATGCACGAATGCCATTACCCTTGACTCCTACCAATGTAAGAGTACGATGCACTTCCCACCCTTGATGAAAGAATGCAAGTTCTTGCAGCGTGATATTTGAAACGATTATATTGCAAAAGACAACCAAATAGAATGTGACAAACATCCATAGATATCACACCACACCGCTTTGGCTCCTGGAATTTATCTCCATTAGAGAACTCCACAAGCATCTTCTGTCAACTATGAACTCATTTCTTTTCTTTCAACTAAGACAGAAAAAAGGATGGTTGTACTTCTATGCAGCAAGATTCAACTTGTAAACCATTTGAGTAGAAGTTATGTTCTTACAACCATCTCCGTCCATAATAAAACCACACATTTTTCATCATGGTTTAACAGGTACGAAAAAATATTATGATGGAGCTATTACTACTCTCTCATAGGCTCAATCTGAAGGATGCGTCGAACCTCTAACATCTCTCTCGCCGGCTAGAAGTTCATACACTTCCTTTGCACCATTACCTTCTCCCATGTCTCTTGTGTTATTGTCCATTTCTTCCACTACGTCCCGCTCGGTGAAAAAGACCAACCTCCTATTTAAGCAATCAGACATAATGTGCCAAAATCGTGGCACTTACAAGTACTTTCTGGCTGACAATAACTTATGAATGCTGATGGCACTCACTTTTCTCTCTACCCTAGACTGGTTTCTTACCATGAGAGGTTGGCTTGAGTACTCTAACAGGTGAGCACTTACCATTTGATACTTACTATTTGATAATAAGGGTGAGCCCTACTTGTAAGATATAGTGATCCCCTGACAATGATGTTGTGTTTCCGCCTTCAAAATTAGAATTTGTACATGAGTAGACACCAATAGGGTTGCAACTGCACCTTATTACTAATAGATGGCTTCAATCCTCCAAAATATCTTGCCACTCCTTTAGCTCCACCAAGTCATATTTAAACATGAGTTAGTCAAATTTGACTATGTTTTGTTCCAAAAAAGAATCCCTCAAGTGCAGCTTGTGGTCTATCTCAGAGATTGTGAAGGGCTAATACAACAAAGTGTTAGGTAAAAAGGTTACAATTATATTATTTAAGAAGTATGTCAGATCACACATTCACATAGTAGTCTATCGTAAGTCCAGATACATCGTCTCTTCTAAGCCCAAAAAAATTAAAATGCTCAGATCAGGCATAAAAAATATACTCAAGACAATGTTATTAAAAAAAATCTGCTCCTCAAAGTCGTAAATGCTCCAAACCCAAAAAAGAATGGTATGGGGCTGATCATAGCCGAGGAATATGCATTTTTCCCAGTATGTTGCCCTCACTAACTTAGTAGAATGTCGAATTTATCTAAAAAGTTTTAACAAGAAAAGGTAAAATTCACTTGTTACATTTGTGCATTCATATAGGCAACAAATGAGTTTATAAGCAAAAAAATCCAAAAAACTACCATGACATATAATCCAAAAAATAAAGCATCAAATTAGCAACTATTCTACTTTTCTAAGGATTTAAACAATATTTTATGTTAAATCAGGTTATCTTGCATTAAAAGTAGCTGAATCCCAACTGTATAAACAAGTTTTCAGATATTAACCACAACGAGAAACAAAGGATGCAACACCTGTGCTAGAACATGCGTTCAGCCCTCTAGCTAAATAGCGTGTACCAGGATGCAACCTACTTCGACGAGCAAAGAGTGCAACAATGTTCCCAGACCCAGAGCTCCCAAAACTTCTGCATTCAGCAAATCCCTGGCAGTATTCGTCAATTTTAGAAAATCATGATAACAGCAATAAAAAACAACAAAAAAAAATGGCTTACAAAAGACAGCAATGAGTTATTAATCTATAAACAGATTTTGAACAAACATAAAGAAAAAAATAACCAGTGCATATAAAAGGAAAAGAAAAAGAATAACAATCAAAATTCAATCAATTTGTATTGTTTTTTAAAATACATAAGTGCTCAATTTCGATGAAACAAATCCATAAACCATATTTGTCATGGGTTGAGGGTTGAACTATAATCCAAAATCTAAAATTCATATATAACTTTTCTGGTGCCAAAATCAAAATTGAACCGAATTAACTTGTAATCCATAATCTAGATTGCATATTTAATCTTTGTCAGTTGGATTGCTGGAGGAAAAAATCTTACTGAAACAATCAATCTAGAACTGGGAACCTAACTGGAAGTCTGGGACTTCAAAATGAACGAAGTTGACTCCATTCTGCACTTCTGTTTTCAGCCAACTGATGCAAACTTCCAAAACTAACTCTATGGTTGAGCTTGCCAAGCTTTAATACAATACCTATTCCTAAATCTCATTCTCTATTATCCAACTATGCATTTGAAAATTAGCTCTTCATATAAGAATCAGTTATTAAGAGTGATATTTCTGATGTACTGTTCAAGATTTGAGCGCTATGCAAGTAAATATGAAATGTTAGGTGTTATATATGTAAATATATAAGGTTTGTGTGGTATTTATATAAATTTCCCTAGAAAATCTTACATAGGAATGGCTCTTAAAACCAAAGTAATAGGGTGCATGAACACAAACCTGCAGAAGAACAATGCAATGTTTTGGCAGGCCAATATCCCTGAATGGTTTGGAAAACCAAGAATTCCAAACAAATTCATCATCAGGATCATGGGAAGTCATGGCACTCGGAAAAGGCCGAGTAATATCCCTTGTTTCACAATAATAGTGTTTTCCATCAATGTCCAGTTCAGCTAATTCCTGGATATTTTTAAGCTCTCCCTTGCCCTGTGACTGAGGGTTTTGAAGCTGGATTTTTATCCATTTACTTTCTGTAATTGTGTAAACACAGCCACCACCAGGAAGTAGAGAAATTGTGCGGGTCAACCTGGTCGCTACTAGAAGTAATCCAAAGCTTCCAAGTGCCGCATAGCCAAGCAAGGCCCTTGCATAAATGGTGTTCTTACATAAAAACCCCGAACAATCCGTAATGTAGTTCAAAGCTTCTTCTTCAGAGTTAAAAAGGTCATGCCCAAGCTTTCCAATATAGCTCAGTGAACCAGTAGTGGGATCGATGTTAATTACTTGAGTATCACTCCTAGTTGACAGACTCACAATAATGTAAACTTCACTACTTTCGAGCACAATAATGAGAACAGAGGTTTCCCTTGAAGCTCCATCTGGGAAAATAATATAAACAGAATGTTTTTAGTTCATAAATAAAAATAGAGTACATAATACATATAACAGTGACAAATATACAAGCACAAATTATTTCAAATGAAATGAAAGAAACTACAAGAAAGCGTCGTTAATCAGAATAAACTTAAGAGTGCCAAGGCACACAAAATCATGAAGAAAAAATATACAATAAGACCACATTAAGGGGAAAAAAAAAGGATAACACCATGATAACTTAAAAAGTATGAATGAGAATCTAACTTATCAGTTAATTATTTTAAAAAAAAAAATACCAGGTGATTCCATGTAAGCTGCTTTGCAGCAGTACTTCGATAAAACTTCTGCTCATGCGCCTTCTGTTCCAAAAAAGATAGAACTTCTGGCTTCAAACAAGGAAGTGAGAATCTGCAACAAAAGAAGAACTATAAGATCTAATATAATAAAAACTAGACACTCGAGAGCAATGGAGTTTAGACAAACGATGTTCGTTACACCAATTTAAAATTAAAAAATAGTGAATTAAGTGTCAGCAATGCAATCACAGAAAACACGAGCATGGTCTCAGAAGAAAAGGTCATTCACCTCCCTTGATGCAAAGGAAAGAAAATGTTAAGGATAAATTAGCGGCAAGTCTACTAACAGTGAAACCTGAAAAACCCAACAGATGATATTAAAATACTTATAAATAAAATCTATCGAAGAATGATGCTTATTAAAACCAATTCATTCATTCAAGCAAAGTGACTCATCTCCAATCAAGGTCATTATCATCCTTGTTCATGGCAAGAAATGGCATGGATAAACAAGGAACTAAGAAATTTAAAAACTCTCAAACAAGGAAAACGATAAAAAGTACAACAACAAAATTTGTAACTTACCATTATTCTTTGTAACTTGTAAAAAATAGATTAGGCATGTTGAGGCAGATGGAAAAGTGGAAAATAAAAGAGAGAATAAAAGAACTCAAAATGAAAAAAAAATGAAAAAAAAACAATATGAAAAAGTCATACTTCTGTCTGGATGAATATGGATTAAACAAACTTTCATGGTAAAATCATTAAAACAATCAAAATTCAGACAGGTAGATAATTATAAAGAATGGTAATTATACACCAAAAACAAATTTCTTTAAATCTATTCACTTGGACATAGTAAGCCCACACCAAACAAGGGAGGTGATTCTCTCTCAAGCATCTTGGACCCAATGAGGGAGTATGATCGGAAAAATGACGGGGCAATTGAAAGTAGTTGAAATTCAAGTTTCAATGGGCATTTACTGCTCAAGAAAATGTCCTAATAAAAAATCTGAGAAACACAAATCTAGGTTAGGCAAGTTACAAGATAGATTTCTCAAACCAACCAACTTTCATCCAGGAGGAACAACAAATATCAAAAAAATATTCCAAAATTGAGTTCGTTCTTTCCAAAAGAAGTTATTTGTGAATTAAGACTACTGCATCCAAGTTTGAATTGCCAAACATCTAACTTCTATAGAGAAAAAAAATATTATCCGGGAGCAAATATGATGACCAAAAAGTGATAGCAGAGAGATTAAGCAAACGCAATTAATGTCAAAATTTATAAGGGTCGGCTAAATAAACATACATAAGAGTGAGGAGAGAATCTAGTTCACTAAAAATAGAAACCACAGGTGTACAATACAAGGACACCACTGAGGACACCCGCTCTTCGCAGAACCAAGTACAGCCTTCCCAATACCAAGTAAACCCATTCTCACAAAAGAAAGGAGAACCTCAATTATCTCAAGACAAATAAGAGAAAAATTAAGTGAGCTTATAAAAAAAAATGAAACATTATCATAGAAACTAAATTTCCTTCATTTCCTCATTTTTCTCGCTACTCCGCCGTCTTTTAATGTGCATAGCTCTTTGTTATTTTTTCTTTGCGTGCCTTCCCTAGCTAGAAAATCTAAGGGACTAGTCGAATCAAGCTATTTTCATGCCAATTGAATACCAAACTCATTCACAAGCCTAGGTCTGACCTATTTAAACACTTAAAAAAGATGATTTAAAATAAAAATCAAGATCAAATTTTGATCAAAAATATCAAAAAAAACCAATTATCCTGATAGGTTTTAAAAGAAACAATATGGTTTGTTATTATCAAATTTTAAATATGAATGTATCCTAATAACCTATTGAGTAAGAAAAATTATAGGAAATATTCTTTTCATCAATGGTGTGCATAAAAATGATCTGCAAGACTCCTATTCAAGTTGACCATCCTAAGCCCAAACCTCAAAGAACTGTTTATCTGAATTTGACACCCAAAAATGACCTGCACAATATGCTCATACATGCCAATATCATATGATATTATCAATAGCGTAGCAAGACATGAGCTGTCAAAATAGTACATGCTATTTGCATTATTGATAGGTTATATCACAAAAGCATCTTGCCCTTGTGAAACGCTCAAATTTATAGCTAAAGTATAATAGGGCCTTGATTTTAAGAGACAATCATTGTGACAATAATAATCTTGTCTCTTTAAATGATATAAATGATACAAAAATTGGTTAGCACGAGAGATGGATGAGCCAGACTAAGATAATAAATATGTTAATAGTAAGGAAGATTTGACATGAATCATTGTTGCAAATAGGGTGTAAACGAGCCAAGCTTTAGCGAGCCCAAAGCTTATTCGTTTTCGGCTCGTTTGATTTTTTCTTTTTTTTTTGTTGAGCTCATTTTCGAAATATCTCATGATAGCATGTTAGTATTCGACTCAATTCAAATTCTTTTGTTCGAATTAGCTCGCGCTTGGCTTGAATTTGAGCTCAATAGCTCGAATTCTCATACAGGACGACATCTCCAGTGCTCAAATGAGGGATTTCTCTCATTAAATTTAACACCTATGAGGTGATATGCAAAATTCTCCCACTGATGTGGGAGTGACGTGAGACTAAACAAATATAAAAGAAATCTGAAAAAAAATTATTAGTTTTTTGTGACTCGCGGACTGTGAGATTGCTCTTTCTCCATGATTTTTGGGCATTTACATACATACAGGCCAATATTCTATAAATTTACATTTCCAACACCTGTTTTTTGTACCTATACCAACTAAATCTCTTATATCGCATTTTATTGAAATATAATATAAAAAGATATAAATAAATATTATTATTTAATTATTTAATTATTCAAGCCAAACAAGCTTAACTCGAACGAAGAAACATTTATTTGTGTTCGTCTTGTTTATAGATCGAGCTCAAGAAAATTATTTGTGTTCAATTTGTTTTTCACTCGCTTGTTTGAAAAACGAACCGAACACGACTATTTAACAAGCAGAACACAAGTTGTTCAAGAATGACGAGCTTTTTTTTACGGCTTTAGTAGCAAAAGCTAGTGATACTTATGAAAGAAGCGAAATTAGTTAAAATTAATTTAAAACAAAATTTAAGGATTACTCATCCAGATTTGGCATTCTTTCAAATGAACCCAAATTGATGAAGATGATAAAAATAATATGATTTAAAGGATAATGATAATGTTAAAAAAAGATATAAGGTTGTTTTTGCTTATGATAATAGTGATTCTCAATGTGAAAAATTTTGTTTTTTTTAATATGGAAATTGCAAGAAAAAATTTAATATTTTGAATTTTAAGTGGCTACGCAATTAAGCGAAAGCATTAATATTTAAGATTTATAAGAATGGAAGTCTTAGTTATAAATTTAGTTGTTTTTATTATCATGATAATTTATTCTTCATTCTAGTTCTTTCATAAGTTTTTATTAGTTTGTGTATATTTAATTGCATCTTTATCCAAAGTTTTTAATGTTTATGCTATGTTTAAAATAGCACAAGTTATGCCCAGACATTCAAAGGACCTTCGCTCAAAGGTGTCGTTCATCATTATCAAGTATGTATATATTGCACACCAAAGTGAATCCACCAAAACTAAAAGTGCACCTACCACTAAATTGGATGCATCCTCACTTTAAATGCTTCAATTGTATGATTTGGCACTATGACAAACTGTGCAACACGAACTAATCTACCCAATCATAATCAAAAATCATATCCTAAACAATTACCATGTTAATTGTAAGGCCTTCTCTACAACCCAAAAAACCATTTTTTACTTCTTCGAATCATAATGCCTAGCTAAAGTTGATATCCACTCAAAAAAACAGACTCATGAACAAATAGTCTATCAACTTTGTTCTGAAAATGGAAAAAAAACACCTATAAAAGGTTTAAGGGCGTAAAAATCTTTAGAAAACATACATCTTGAATCTTTGAAGGATCCAAGAAATATCATTTTTTCCTCAAATTTGGTACAAGCTTAGCTTCAATCGATGTTCTAGTTTCACTATCATGCATCGTACAATTCACATTACCAAAACTATCCCTCTTACAAGTAGAACTATTTCCATTTATTCATATCAATCCTATCATTCATAAATGGAAAAAATATATATTTTAGATGTATATGATATGATAAGCTGAAACAAAATTCCAATGATATTTTCATCTTCTATCAGCCACCATCAAGGCATTACTAATGTCTGAGCAGACCAATTTAAAACAAAAATACCAACCTCAAAATTGTCCTACTCATAGTTATCAATTGTATTCTACTCCTTATTAAAAGCATGACAATCTCTCAATATGCTATTACTTGTTATCATGAAAGCATATCGCACTCTTCTACTTTTAGAACTCTCCCCAGACATGAATGAAAGTAAATCCCTTGGCACAATACTTCAACAGAACAAATAATTCCAAAAAAATAAAAAATGCTGCCCTAAAACAATATCTATCCCATTCGCTATCCCTTCAGTAACTTTACAGTAGACCAACTAAAGGTTGTGCCTACAACCATCTGGCTTAATTGATGATTCTGATTCATATGACTATAGATTTCTCAAAATTTTCATCAATGTTCCTGTGTTAGTTTATTAAACATCTAAGTTGGCCTCAAGTTAAAAATTATTCCCAAGCATATATAAGCGAGAGAATTAGATTTTCATCTTATCTCAAACAGCTTTCTAGATTTGTGGTTGGATTCTTGGAATTCTTGTATCAATGGTTATAGATTCCTCATCAACCCATAAATTATTGGTAATTTCATCACAGTTCCTTCACTTCAATTCAAAAAAAGTTAAAGGAATGTAGCCTAAACAGCTCATCTGGTCACAATACAGCATAAGGTGATCCTTCTGAAGCAAAAGTAATTTCAAATGAAGCTTTTTCTTCATTCAACTTTGAAGTTTGAACTATGCGTTCCTTTCAAATATCAAGCACAAAGAAGAGCAGAGTTGACTTACGATAGGATGACTTCTGAAGAGGCGAGGGAATGGAGGAGGGGAAAAGGGGAATGACGGCTAGGCCATAACAAAAAGGAGTCGGTAAACTATACTGAATGAAAATTATTTTCATCACAATCCCTCCTTTGCTCTCAAGCCAGCGAAGAGGCCATCACACTAATTTGTAATTATTATGTTCCATATATTGATTTTGATGGGGGAGATAAATTAACAACTAGTCATCCTTAGGGACTGTTTGGTTGCAGGTTTAAAGCAGGATTTATGCCAAATTGCAAAAAAAGAATCTGTTTTGCCTTAAATCCAGAATCTAGTAAATCCCGTTGGAAGACTAATTTACAAGATTTAGAGAAGCTAAGGCGCGTGAAGGCCGGCAGAAGGGGGACAAAAACGAGTGTTACCTTTCTCAATAGTTTCTGGTAGAAACGGACAGGAAGGAGGAGAAAGATGAGAGTTTCGGAGGTCTTTGTACGTCGCGATCCCGTTGTTGCATTTCCAGCTCTAACCGCGACTTCTAGCGCGATCGCTCGGCGACGAAGGCGACGGTTTTGAGCGACATCAGCCAGGGTTTCGGGCACGAGAGAAGAAGAAGAAGGTTTTTTTCTATTTTGCGTTATAATTAAATAGATATATATGTAATAAGTTAATAATTAATTTAATAGATAATTAATTAGTTATTATTTAATCACTTAATTTAATAATATTATTATTAAAATCTTTATTTAATAATTAGTATAATTATAAATAAAAAATTAATTTAATTTAATTAAGCTTTATTAATTTATAATATTAAGTTTTTAACTCTAAAGTAATTTGTAATTATAGTTGTTTTTAATGATATGTTTATGAAAGAATTAATGTTTTGAACTTTTATAGCTCTAGGAATTTTGTTTTTCCTTCTTTCATCTGGTTAAATTACAGAGCAAGGGCTTCTTCTTCCCTCGATTCTCCAAGACACAAGGGTCTTCATTATTCTTAGATCGTTTAAGTCGCGGGCATCTTTCCTTCCTCTGATTATTCAAGTATAATGATATTCTTCTTCCTCTAATCATTCAAGCTACAAGGGATATATTTCTTGCTTTCTCCGATAAAACGCAAGAAACTTCAATCTGATTAATTAGTCTCGATCAACTGAGTGTGAGCAGCTCAACCTATGTTGAATACTGGGGTTCTCTCTTTCCCCTGATTCATTGTTGGCTTCTCCTCCTTTTCGTGATATTGTCACAAATAGGTCCAATGAAATAGGGAATGTTTTGTTCCCTGTGATATTTAAAGAGCAACTCGTAGAGGCTTCGTCGATTAGGCTTTTGAAAAAAGCATCCAGGAAGAATGGTAAGTCAGCGTTGTTACTTCTACATGAAGATGCTAATCTTCTTGTGGAACCATTTCATTTTACATTGATCGGTAAGTTTTCTTATGCACATTCGAAAATGGATTTTATTAAAAGTTATTTTACTGATCTTAATCTTGTCGGTAACTGGAGTGTTGGGCTTATTGACAGTAGGCATATGATGATTAAGTTAGGAAAAGAGGAGGAGTATACTGCTATTTTTTCTAGAAAATTTTTGTTTATAGAAAAAACTCATATGGAAATCTTAAAATTGAATCAAAATTTTAACCCTAAGGAAGACCCTCTAATTGTCTTGGTATGGCTAAGGTTCCCTGGGTTAAAATTGCATTTATATAATTTAAAGGTTATTTATTCCTTAGGGAACATTTTCGGTACACCTTTAAAGATGGATCATGCTACTCTCAATTGTCTCAATCATCGATGGCTGGAATTTTAGTTGAAAGGGATGTCACGACACCCGTTATTGATCAAATTTGGATTGGAAATGAGAATAATGGGCATTAGCAGAGTGTTTAAATGAAATTTGTTCCTCAATATTGTACTAGCTGTCGTATGTTTAGTCATAGCTATAATTCTTGCTATTTTGTGCATCCTGAATTGAGAAAGGAAGGTACTAAACGTGTTCTTATTGTTATTAATAATAATGTGGAAGGTAATATTAATATATATTCCAATGATAAAAATGTGCCTCGCGAAAAGTTCAATGGGGATTTCTTACAAGTTGAAAATAATCCTATTGAAATACCGGGTATGGCTATTGATGTGTTGAATGGGGATAATCATTTTAAAAACTTTATTACTGAGGTTAATGAAAATCAAGATACTTTATCTTGTAATAAAGATAAAAAAAAATCTTGAGAATATTGAAGCCATTTCTCTGAAGGCTGATTTTTTGGTTTTAGTTAATGGTAATATGAATGGCATCAATGATAATATTGTTGATTTTCCTATTAATAATATTGTTGCTGAGTGTGGTGATGACAGGGATTCTTCTTATAATAATCTTGATGAGGAAGAGTCGGTCAATAAATTGGTATTTGTTAGAGAAGACATGGAGAAATAAAGGCTTTCGATTAAATCGATCAGAGAAAAGTTAAAAAGACTCAGAGAATTAAACCATGTGAATCCGGAGGCTTCTACTATTCAAAACGAGGGAGTTCGGAAATGTAAGTAGATCATTGTATCTCAACCTCCAAGACTCATCAGAGGTAAGAAATCTTTTGTTCATGTTTAATTTCTTAATTTGGAATATTAGAGGCATTGCAGATACTAATGCCTCTAATCGTTTGAAAAATATTATTAGATCTTATAAGTTACCTTTTTTTTTTGGAATTCTAGAGCATTTGGTGGCTATTCATAACAGTAATAATATATTGAATAGATTCAAAAAATTTAATTCTTGTGCCTATTGTAGCAACATGATTTGGTTCTTCTGTGATAATCATATTGTTGTGCAGATTATTATTGATCATTTTCAATTTTTACATTTGAGAATTAATTGGGATAATATTTTATTTCTTGCCACTATTGTGTATGATGGATGTTCTAGTCTTGTTAGAACAAAACAATGGAATAGCCTTTTTTATTTAAAGGATTGTGGTAATGATCTTTGGATCGTTGGTGGTGACTTGAATGTTCTTCTTTCAGTTGAGGAGAAGAAAGGAGATAAGTATCCTAACAGGGCTTTAATTGATAATTTTAATAATGTTATTCTGGATGCAGGTCTTAGTGACTTGGGTTTTACTGGAAATGCTTTTACTTGACATGGAAGTAATGTCTTTGAAAGGCTAGATCATTTTTTGTTTCATACTTTTCATATTAACTATGTGATTCATCTTCCTTTTGCTTGTTTGGATCATACTCCTATTTTACTTAGTGTTAAGATGTTTAACAAAAGTAATATTTATTACTTTAGATTTTTGAATATGCGGATTCTTTACAATTCTTTTCACCAATTTTTTAAAGATAATTGGAATACTGATTGCCCTGGTAATGCTAGAAGTAAACTTTGGAGTTTACAAAAATAATTGGCTTTTAAACTTAGAACTTAGAATTGGGAAATTTTGGTAACTTACATTCTCTTGTTCAATCAACAGAGGATGATCTTAATCGTTTGGATGAGGATTATTCTCATGATATGATTGATTATCCTTCTTTTTTGACTGCTCTATTAATATGGAAGAACCCCCACCTATATTCTTTTGAGTTTAGATTTGGCTTATAGAACAAGCCAAATTAGCCTCTCAAATTAGGTGAATCAACGTTGAAATGTCATGGATAAACACAACACAATGAGTGGCTCTAAAAGGTATTAAATTTGTTTGGAAATGGTAGCTTGAAGGTGACTTCAAACTAGGCGTCAAAATGGGATTCAAGTTTGGGTTCAAATTAATTTAGATTTAATTCCAACATGATGAGTTCATCATATGGGTTATAGGTATGAAGAGAATGACCGAGAATGATCTCAAAGGATTATGTGTAAATTTGAGGTTATTTATTAAGTGAAAAATATATATATGTGTGTGAAATTTTAAGTGTTTGTATTATTATATATATTTTTATCTTTTATCTTTTCTGGATTTATTAAATTTTATTTTGAAAATTTTAAAGATTGTATTTATAAATATCTCTGACAACCAAAAAAACTCACTGAAAGCGTTTCCAGGCTGCTTGGTAGAATTCTTATAAGAAAATTCTTATGGAGTTTTATTTATTTGCGAACAGGCAATAAATGAAAGATTTGACATGCTGTCTCATCCAAGAAAATACGATATCTTTAAGTTACATGCTATCAAATTAGGGCTTATTTATGATCATTTTTATTTTAAAAATATATTTATTTATTATAACTTTTTAAATAATTTTATTTTTTTTATTTTTAAAAAAATAAATGAACTTGTTCTTGAAACATTCAAAATATTTAAAAATTGATTTAAGTTTTTTTTAAAAAATAACTGAAAATATTATATATTTAAAAAAAATAAATAAATGAAATAAAATCAAATCAAAAGTGCTCCCAAATTGCAAATCAGCAACCTTGTAAGAACTCTATTTTCAATGACACGAATGACTCTTTACATTATTTTCATCAATTAATAAAATTTAAAAAAAGCCTTAATCAAACCATCTCTTGAAGAAATGGGAGGAACGTGAGTAGCCAAATTATTCTCCATCGCCAACCAAGAAAGAAATTCGAACGTGCTTTCCATGAGCGGCCAACTAATTAATTTATATTAATTTCAAACATTAAAACTTAAGATGTGAATTTAGCCCAAAAATCATTATTCGCTCTAAAAACAAATTTAAATTTTGACTCAAATTAAGATTAGATTGAAATAAATGAGCCGAGCTAATGTTAAAACTATAAATTTAACAAATTCAGCTTAGAAATTATTAACCACTCGAAAATTAATTCAAATTTTGACTAGATGTCCAATGGCATTTGGAGTCTAATGGTCGGACGCAACTTGTTAAGTGGGCTCCACTATTTTTAACACTGATTAATGCAGGTGTATTACAGTGAAATTCACTTGACACGTCCCACCATTGATTGTGTTAGGAATAATGTAATATTTTCTCCAAAATCAAATCAAGTGAAACTTCACAATTCAATTTAGATTAATTTTATTTCTTATTCTTAAATATCACATTCGGTTCAGCTCCCGATCATACATATATTGGATCTACGCCTCCCAATCCCGACGAAAGAGACGCCCAGATTCTCCGGCGAATAACAGACGTCGAAAATGTCATCGGCTCCGGCGAGGAAGCCGACGGTGAAATTTGCTCGGAAGACGTCGAGCGGACGGTATGTGAGTCTTTCGAGAGAGGATATGGACTTGACGAACTATACCGTTCAAATGCCGCCGACGCCCGATAACCAACCGATCGACGACACTGTTTCCGCTGCCGGAGAACGGTTTGGGGGGGCCGGAAAGTACGCCGGAAGCCGGCCTCCGCTGCCGGGAGATAACCGGAGATTGACGCCTTGTGCGACGCCGGAATGCGATGGCTCTGTGGAGAAGGACGAACAGGGACGGGATGTGCATCCCTGCGACTGCGGGTACGGTTTTTTTTTTTTTGGTTTTTGAGTGTTTTGATTCATGATGATTAATGAGATTAGTTTAAATTAGGGAATA